GGGGGGGGGCGCTGTGGAAGACCATCCAGGGATTCCTCAAAACAGTAAACACAGAGTCACCGTCCGACCTAGCAGTTCCACTCCTGGGTAGATTGAAAATATTTTCTTTTTTTTATTTGAGAGACAGCTAGCAAGAGAGAGAGAGCACGTGCACAGGTGTGTGCACGTGGCCGCATGAACAGGGGGAGGGACAGAGGAGAGAGAGAATCTTGCCGCAGACTCCATGCTGGGCGTGCAGCCCGATGCGGGACCCCCAGGTGCCACAGTTGAAAACATTTCCAAGCAAAAGGAGGTATATGAAAGTTCACAGCAGCATTATCCCCATTAGCTCAACACCGGACACACCAAGTGTCCGTTAGCATGTAATGAATGAACATGTGTGTGGTCCGTCCCCACGCGGGAACACGCTCCAGCCTCAGGAAGGAAGGGACCCTGACACCTGCCACGACGTGGAGGGACCCCGAGGACACCGGGCTCAGTGAGAGGAGCCAGACCCAGAAGGACACATCCCGCAGGACCCCACTCTCAGGAGGTCCCCAGAGGAGTCCCGTCCACACAGGAGAGGGTGGGAGCCGGGGCTGCGGAGTCCATGTTAAGGAATATAGGCTTTTTTTCTGGGGTGGTAAGAATGTTCTAAAACTGATACTGGTGATATTTGCACAACTTTGTGAATATACCAAAACCCACTAGATTGCACTCTCCAGACAGGCGATGCACTACATGAATTAGATCTAATAAAACCGTTATGTATCAGGAAAGAATACTGTTCATCCTCAGACACACCAGACGTGCAGTGTTGACAAGAACTAGGAACTCTGCTCTCTCGAGCCCTTGCCTGCTGTGGCCGCCTGCGCGCCCTCTGTCTGCTTTAACCAGGTGACATATGCACCAGGAGCGAGACCTGACACAGCAACGCCACATCCCGGGGGCTCTAGGCCCAGGGGGCTGGCCCTGCCCTGGATGTGACGTCTCGGGGGGAAAGACCGCCCAGGCCCTTCACGAGCAGCTTCTCACCAAGTCAAGGTTAACAGTCTGGGGAAACTGTCCACTCGAGCACAGCCGCTCTGTGGGACTGCGGACAGCAGCGGAGGGGCCCCAAGGGGGAAGCGGCCACGGTCAGGGCCCCTGCACCCATCAACTAACAGTAGCTGGACACTGCCTGTCCTTTGCCCAGGCCCTGCCGTGGGAGGACGACCTCATCACGGGCACCTCTCCTCCCAGAAGCCCCGCCCGTGGATGCCCCTGGCCCACCCCGCCTGGCCCCACTCGCCTGGCGCTGCCTGGCTCATCCTCAGAGCCCTGCTCTTCGTCTGAGGTCAGTGGGGAGTAGTGGGCCCCGTTGGTCTGGCTCAACGGCTTCTCCTTCTTGAGAACGGGCGGCTGGTCGTTGTCCTGGTAAGGGACAGGGGAGCTCTTCAGGCTCTCGGGGGACGAGATGGCCGTGATTTCCAAAGGCTGGTTAATGTTGCTGACCTGAGGGACCAGCACAGACACAGCACAAGCCTGTCAACAGGCTCCCCGAGCACCGACGCCCAAGGACTCTGCTTGGGTCCCTCCCGGCCAGACCCGCCCTGGATCTCAGGCCGCTGGGGAAGGCGAAGCCGGCCTGCTGCCCTCAGAGGGAGGTGGCCCGTGGTGCCGGCCTCCTGCCTGTGCTGCTGGCGCCCTGACATCGTGGCCAGGCTGGGAACGCGAGATGCCACGTGCGGGCGCCCGCGTGGGCCAGGGGAGCCAGCATGCCCTCCCCGCTGCGGCCCTGCCCCCCAGCTGGCCCCGGCCTTACCATAGAGCTGAGGTTCAGCGGGGACCCCGAAGACTGCGTGAAGAGGCCGGCAACGGACGGCAGGGCCCGGCGCTTGGGCGACACGCCAGCGCTCAGGCTGGGGGTCCCAGCCGCCGCCCGCTTCCTCCTGCCCCGCTTGCGGCTGTCCGGCCCATGGCCCTGGCCACTGTCCCCGCGGGCGCCCGTGGGCAGAGGGCTCGGTTTGCCGGGAGGCGACTGTTTGGCACTGCCGCCAGCCGAGATGGTAAAGACGATCCTCCTCTTGGCTTCGCCCTCTGGGTCTGAAAAGCCGGCCTCGGAAGGAAGGTCCCCTTTGTTGGCCTCGGGGAGCGGGCCCTGGGCAGCACTGCTGAGCCGCGGGCTGGTGCAGAGCGGATGGGCAGGCGAGGCTGCGCCGGAGCTGCGGGACTGCGGTAGCAGGGGCGGGTGCTGCGGGGTGGAGCAGGACCCCATGCTGGCGAACAGACTTCCTGAGCCCGAGACGTCATCGAAGGTGCCGGGCTCAGCTCCGGGAGCGAGGGGGGCCGGGCTGCCTGCCAGGGCCCCGCTGACAGCCACTGAGCCCGCGTAGAAGCCTGCCAGGAAGGACGGGGTATCTCAGGGGGGGACGCCACTGCCTGGGGTGCAGCTGGTGAGCAAGCTCCACACTCGGGAACCCACCCTCCATGTGCTTCCGTCGAGTACCGGGGACAGGCACCAGCGACCGGGCACGGCTGTGCCAGCCCTGGGGGCTCCCGGGCGGCCAGGCAGACACGTGGCTCCGTCCGGCTTCTGGGTGTAAGATGACTGCCGGTGCTGGAACCCGACAACCCCAGGTGGGCCTGGCCAACCTCCTCCCCCCACGGAGGCTCACCAAGGTCCATGGCCTCCTCACGCCGCCTGACATCAAGCCCTCCCCGCCCCAGATGAAACGGTGTGCCAGACACCAGAGGCAGGACCTGCCCTCCCTGGGTTAACACAGGGTCGGCACACTAACGACTAGCCTCTGGGCCTGGCAGTCTGGCCAACGGCTGGTGTAAGGACTTTCACTGGCACACGCCGCCCGCCCAGACACCGTCACTGGCACACCCACGCCACGGGGCTGAACAGCTGGGACAGAGACCCGATGCCAGCGAGGCGCCATGTGCCGCCTGGCCCTGTATGGAAAGTTTGCAGGGGCCTCTGCCAGCAACCGTCAGAAGTCTCTGAAGGAGAGTCAGAACCCAGCTAGAAACCGGGCAGCTCCACAAGGATGCCACCAACCAGGTGGGGCACAGCGCCCGGGCTGAACGTCGGGATGAAACGGCCAAAGGCTCCTGAGATGTGCCAAGGCCGAGCCTAGAGCCCCTAACCCCCAGGGCTCGTTGTGCCGCATGCCAATGGCCCTGATGCAGCTCAGACCCTGTGGCCGGGAGGAGGGGAGCCGGCTCAGAGCCTGGCCTGGCAGACGTGGGGTCCTCACATGCCCAGCCTGCCCGGGCCCTCCCCCTTCCAGCAGCAGTAGCAGAGGCTGGGGAGGGCTGGGCCCTGGGGGAAGGGCCAGGGGCAGGGACCCAGGAGCAAGAGGAGCACTCTGACCTGCAGGAGCTGGGGTGAGGCCTTTGCTTCCAGCGCCGTGGGCATTAGCGCCCATCTGCTTTTCAAGTGTGGACGAGGACTCTCGGGTCTGCGGCACAGGGCTGGGGGTGCTTCTCTGTGGAGAGAAAGTACACGCTGTCAGCTGAGCCAGGACTGGAAGGAGTCCCGGACATAAGCCACAGGATGTGCAAAGGGCCTGGGGTAGGGAGAACGGCAGGCACGTGAGAGCTGGTGCACAGAAGGGGAAATGACCTGCTCAGGGTTTGAGCACTATGGGTAGCCCTCAGAAGGTTCTGACAAGGTGAGGGGCAGATGCCTGACTCGGGTCCCAAAGGACTGTTCTGGCTACAGCAAACGTCAGGCTGGGGATGAAGGGAGTAGGGACGGCTGTAAGAGGCTGCAGCTATGATCCAAACAGTGATTCCACTCCTGCATGGAATGGGGTGAAGATACCCACCCCCACAAAATCTGCTCACGTGCATTCACAGCAGCGTGATTCCTAACGGCCTAAGGCGGCAACAACAAATGTCCACCCTCAGATGAACAGATAAACATGATGTGGTCTGTCCATGCGCAAGTCTCAGCAGGGGACGGACCCCGAGCCCACAACGCTCAGGGAGGGAACCAGACACAGGAGGCCACACGGGGTGTGAGTGCACGCGTGAGAATGTATCTGTGGACACACCGATGTGACTGCACAGCTCTGAATGTACTAAATGCCACTACACTAGACCATGCACTGTAGCCGGGGGGATTGGATGTGAATCATCTCTCAACTAAAGCAAAGCCAAGCCCGCGTCACACAAGACGCGCCATTCACGGGTGCACATGTGCGAGGCAGGACAAAGGGAAATGGGCTTCGTGCTTGTACCGAATCCAGACTTTGACTCCCTCCCCACCCGCACACACCACCTTCCACAAAAACAAATCTGAGATCAAAATGGGAAAATATTACTGTAACAAACTCTGCACTTCGGGGTTCTGTCTGTCTTGGGGCATTGCAGTATGCTCCAAACTTATCAGCATGCAAACTAACAAAAAGTGACTGGGTCTTACAGAGAAAAAACAAGACAACACCCTTCTCTGCCTACCCACGCGCTGCAGGAACACCACACTGCTGGAGCCCAAGGGCCTGGGCCAGTCACACCAGGTGGCCGGCACCTTCCCTGGCTGGCATCCACTCACCACTTTCTCGGCACGGCTGGGCAGCACCACACTGGCCAGAGGGATGCTGACGGGCAGCTTGCTCGGCTGCACGGTGCTGAGCGGGATGCTGACGGGCAGGCTGGTGATGGCCTCCCCAGTGCTGGCATAGGCGCGCTCCTTCACACCCTGCACACACACCAGACCGGACTCGCTCCTGCTGACCAGTAACGCCAGGCCCCCAGCACCCTCTGAAGGCCACGGGGAACCTCCCAGCACCGGAGGCAGTCCCTCGTCCTGTGACACCCACCCACCTCTGCCATGCTCCGCCTCCTGAAGTTCCAGGGCCCCCACACCCATTACTTGCCCATGGACTCTCTCCTTCCTGTTCCTATGGGCAATGGGCCCTCACAGGAGCTCTGCTGCAGCACCACATCCCAGGCCTGGCTCAGGACACCCACTGCGCACCCCCCACAGCCTGGGCCCTGCTCACACCTTCTCGCCGCCCCTCTCCCCTGTCATCTGTAAGGCCATGGGGGACGAGGGTCGAGGGTCCTGAGGACTCAGCTTGATGCCGTTTGCAATGCCAGGGCTCTGGTATGGAAGGCCGTTCTCCTTGGCGTGCTCAGCTCTGGGACAAGACACATCCCTGGTTACTTCTCTGGGGAGCAGCTACAGCCATGAGTTTGCATCTAGAGCTGGTGGCCCAGGCCTAACAAACATCCCGAATCTCTTCCAAAGAACCGAGCACTCACTCAGAAGACCACAAGGTGGCCCGCGGGCGCCAGGGCAGGGCTCGCGAGCTCCAAGTGCAGACTCACCGCGGGTGTAGCTCACTGGCCGCCGTCTTTCCACTGGCCACGTGGTCCTGGCTCAGGTGCCGCCTCAGCACCAGCTTGGCCGGGGAGAGCCGGGTGTAGTCAGGCAAGGCCAGGCCCGACATCTTCTCGAGCCTCGGCCGGCTGCTGTGGCTGGGGGTGCAGGGTATGACTTCCTGGTCCAGGGGGGAGGCCAGGTACTGGGGGGTGTTCTGCTTGGACGAGGGCCGGCTCAGCGCACCGCACACTTCGTAGCTAGCCGCGTGGCCGTTCATGGAGAGTTCTGGGCTTGCGCTGCTCAAGTGGGACAGGGAGAACTTGGAGCAGTCCAGGTCCAGATGCAGCCGGCCGGGGTCAGCCTCCAGCTCCCGGCCCAGGGCTCCTTTCCCGCGCAGGTGCGCCGACAGGGCGTCATCCGGCGGCACGCAAGACTTGAGCTGCAGGAGCTCCTGCTGCCGCTGGCTCTTCTCCAGTTCCACAATGCTGATCTGTCAGGCGAGGGGAGGGTCAGGCCTGCTGCTCCGTGCAGAGGCCCGCTCACACCTCTGCCAAGTGCCCAAGGGCAGGCCGGCCCCCCCACACCCAGCAACCCAGCCAAGGGACCATCCCGGGAAAGCGCGGTGGATGCACACCTAGAGTGGCTGCAAGGATGTAGACCAGCTTTGTGTGTGACGGGGAAGCCAGAGCACCCAACCGCCCAGCACAGGGTGGGAAGCGCTGGGGACAATGGACAGAACAGCTAGTCTCAAGAGCTGTTCTGCCAACGTGCACTCGGGGGAAGGGAACGGGGTGCGGTGACCCCATCTGCACCAAAGGAGACCACGTATTAACCGTCCCCGAGAAACCCTGGCACTGGCGCTCGGGGCGTGAGGCACTTTCTCTTTGGTTTGTCTGCTTTGTTTGTGCTTTGCCGATAATGAACGTGCCTTTATTCCATGGAGGAATCAGCACCCAAACGGCTCCTCACAGAGGTGAGCGCAGAAGCAAGCCCTGGCTCTGTTAACGAGGGCAGCAAGCCTCTCCTTTGTGAGAGGCTCACCTGGGCCACAACCCTTCAGAAAGTAGCTTGGCCCCGGATCCCGGGAGCGGAAACCACTCACAGACCCACTTTGGAGAGTAGGTCTTTAAGAAACATCCCTAATGTGAGTCTTCGGTGCAGAACAATTCATGGTAGTGTCATTTTGTAACAAGAAAACACCCAAAAAACCCCGAGAGCCTGGTGACCAGGAGGGCTTTATGGTGAAGCCAGGCTGGGGAGACGCCAACTCCACAGGAGGCCACAGCCTTGCAAACGGAGCTTCCAGACGCCAACGATGGCCGCACACCCTGCTGTGGTCCTGCCGTCCCCGGAAGGCTACACACCTGGTCAGCCAGCTCCGGGAAACCTCGAGAGGAGACAGACCTGTCCGTTTCTCCTTCCTCCCAGCCCTGTTTTCCAGCTGACCTTGGCAAAAGGTGCAAGCTATTACAGTTTCCCGCGCAAGCACCGGGCTCCTCACGGGCAGCTTCACAAATGACTCAGTAAGGGGCACTGGGGAAATCCTAGGTTTTGAATGGAGCCCGAGACACTCTGGGAGCAAGTGGGGCCACTCAGATGCTAAGCCCCTCACTCCCCTTTGAGGGCCAGAGACAGGGATGTCCAGGATATCCAGGCTGTTACTGCAACACCACAACGAACCCCGTCCTTGGGAGCAGGACAGCTCCGGGGGGCGGGGGGGACGGCTAATGGCGCTGCCACGGAAGCCCAGAGAGCCCCCCATGGCCCCAGCCCCCACCTGCAGCTCCAGGCAGTGCCTCTGCTTCTCAGAGATCTGGGTCCTCAGGGCCTGCTTCTCCTTCAGCAAGTTCTCCAGGGACAGCGTGGACCAGTCCAGCTTCAGCTCCTCACACCGAGCCTTGAGCTGTGGGGATAGGGAGGTCACGGTCGTGAGCCCCAGCCGGGCAGACCCCTGCTCCGGAGCATGCACAGCTGTGGGGAGGATGGGGTGGGCAGCTGTCCGCCCAGGGGAGGGCAGACCCTGGGCTCTGTGGGGAGACACAGCAAATGTCTGGGCAGGTGCCTCCAAGCGCCTGTGTGCCCGGAGAACGGAACCTGCTAAGAGAAGGTCCGGCTGAGGAGGCAGCCAGGGAAGAGACCAGGGTTCCCCTCTAAGAACACCCACAGGAAGCACAGCAAGGGTGCCCGCAGGATGAGACCGGGAGGCCCCGTTAGAAGTCACGCTCCTGCATGCCCGGCAAGTGTGCCCTGGTCCCCAGGGCGGTGAGGCCCAAGAGATCTGCACCCTGGCCCAAGGGCTGGTTAAGGAGACCAGCACGGGGCTGTGGGGTGGCAGAAGGCTATCGAAGCCTGGGCCACCTGGAAAGCCCCGTTTAGTGAAGGCCTTTCGAGGGTCGTGGGCCCCACGAGTTCCGATGTGCTCCGACAGCCCAGGAAAAGAATGCACAGCCACGTCCCGCTGTAGACTAGGGGTTCCTGGGAAGCGCGTGCTTGACAAGGATGCCTGGGCCTGGTGAGCACCCTCACATCCTCCGTCCCGGGCTCACGCCAGAACCACAGCCTGCAGGCCCAGCCACTGAGGACGCCCACCCTCTCCCAGGGGCCCACCAGCTGCAGGCTCTGGCTTCTCAGCTCCCTGTTGTCCTTCTGCAGCTGCTCCGTCTGTTCCCTCAGCTGTTGGTTGTGAGCCGAAATCTCCTTCTGCGCCTGGATCAGGTCATTGTAGGTCAGTGCCTTCACACCCAGCTGGGGACACAAGACAGCAGAGGTGGGCTTTCATGCAGGAGCGCAGAGTGGCAGGCAAAGGGCAGGGGGAGGCCTCAGCGGGCCCAAGCTGCCAGGGACTGGGGCTGGGGGCCATGTGGGGGCAGTACGGGGAGGGCTGGGGTGGTGGCCGATGGCAGTCAGAGAGAGGAACTACAGTGACCCAGAGAAAGAACGAGGGGCTGACCCCCAGGGCATGAACCCAAGCCAGCAGCCGACTACACACATTCTACATCCCTCTGTCAGAAAACGTAAAACGTCAAAGCATTGGAAAGGAGAAGGTCCCTCCAGATCTCAGGACTGGGGCCTGCACCCTGCTCCTGCCCCCGCCCATCTGAATCCTGCACTTGGGGCTGTTTGCTGGGCCCGTGAGCCCAGGGTGGCAGGTGTGGTCTCCAGCACTCCTACCTCATCCAGTTTCTGCTGGAAGAGCCTCTTGATCTCCTCTTTCTGGGCCTGGCAGTGGCCGAACAGCTGCTGTGCAGCACCTAGCAACCGGGCGTTCTTCTCCTGGGGGGATGGAGCGTGGTGACGGCAAGGCCCTGTCCCCACCACGTCCCTTCCCACAAAGGGCCTGAAGGGGGGCTGCTCAGCTGGACACGCCCCGGCCCAAAAGGCCAACAACCCTCAGCCGTTCTCGCCGGTTAAGAACGTGACCCCGCTGCTTCTCCCTCTCCCACTTCCCCTGCCTGTGTTCCCGCTCTCGCTGTATCTCTGTCAAGTAAATAAATAAAATCTTTAAAGAAAAGAACGTGACCCCGTGGTGAGCAGCGAGACCCCGTGGCCCTTCTGGAGCCAGCAGGGACAATGCGCGGGCCTGAGAGGAGCCTGCTGCTTCTCCTAGGGCCAAGGCACCTTCTAGGGGACGAGAGGTGGGGGCACAGGGCAGGGCTCACCTTCTCCTGGTCCAGCAGCTGCTGCAGGCTGGCCTTGTACTGGGCGGTCTTGGTGTATGCCAAGAACTGCAAGTACTGAATCTTGAAGGATTCTACAAGGGGTCAAGTACACAGTTTAGCGCAGATGTGACACCACTGAGGCCGGCAGGAAGGAAGAGGGGGGCCTCACCACCTGCCGACATGCCGGGGGCCTTCGGTCCCCACCCTGGGCGCCCCTCACAGCACCTGCCACCACCACCCCATGTCTTCTTCCCTCCAACACCACATGGGTTCCCATTAGTAAATCCGCCCGTGTTCTCAGGAAGCACACGTTACTGACATTGAATTGAGAAAACTGACAGCTACCAAAATGTGAAAAGAGGTTTCTTTCACCCAATTTTTAGGGATAAGCAGCCGCTCGATCTATCCCAGCAGCGTGAGGATGTACGCACTCAGCTCAGCAACACCGGGGGCCAAGCTCAGCCCCAACACGGCCTTCCCAACCCCGCGCAGTGGACACGGGCCAGGTGGTTCTCTGGGGGTGTCCCGGGTGCTGAGGAGACGGCGCAGCCTCCCCGGCCCCACCCCCTCCATGCCGGCAGCACCCCAGTCCTGACCCCGTGTGCCCTGGGGCAGAAGCCCGCCTGCAGACGAGCACGTGGGCCCAGCTGACAGTGGCAGCACAGGGGCTTGCTGGAGAAGCCCGCCGGGGGAGCAGAGCCTGCGAGGTCCGGGTGCGGCTCACCTAGCAGCTTCTGCAGTGCGGGCGGGGTGGGTGCCAGCAGCAGCTGGTCGGGGGGGTGCCGCTGCACACTGGGAGGTAGCTGATAAAACGGGCTATGAGGTGACTTGTACGCATCTGCAGGGAGACAGAGCGGCCACACGTCAGCAGCAGGCTGGTGCCCCGGAGGCTCCCACAAGTCTGCTTCAGGGAACCGGCCAGCTTGTTAACACAGAGACTAAACACAGGACCAGACGGCGCGTCTCGGCACTCTCAGAAGCAGACTCGAATCCCCACGTGATCTAAGAAATGCCCGGGAGCCGTGTCCCCTGCGTGCAGTCCTTCATCAGAGCCTGGGGTGGCAGGATGATGGCAAGGCCCCCATTGGGGCTCGCTCTCAGGGAGCCCAGCCAAGTGCAGACAGGCGCGAGGATGCCCCAGTGCGCCCCCAGTAGGGTCTGAAACGTGAGCACTCAGCCACTCAGCACGTGGCGCTGTCCCAGTGGTCTCCGCCCCCTCACTGCCGCAGGGCACGGGAGAGGGACCCCACCCGCCGTACCAACGAAGAGCAGCAAGGGGTGCGCCGGGACCGGCAGACGGCATGCCCGGGGGGCCCCGCACGCGCCTGGCTCACCCTGCGGCGAGGGCGCTGCCGTCTGTGACGCGGCCTGGGCATGCAGGAGGTCCAGTGCAGTTTGGCTCTTCTTGGGCTTACGCTCCGGGTTCGCAGTGCTCATCTTCTTGGGACGCCCGCGCTTCCGGCCGGCCATCTTCCGCCCCTTCTTGTTCAGCTTCTTCTTCCGGGCTTTGGAGGGGGACGGCTTTTTGATGGTGGTCGCCCCAGCTTTTTCTTCCTCGGCCCCGGAATCCTAGCAGACAGGGGCGTGGGGGACGTCAAGGGAGCACCGGCAGGCCCATCCAGCCCCGTGAGCCTCCCTCTGCGGGGACACGGGGTGAGCGCTCACCATCGGGGTGTCCGCGGGCACGGCGGCCTTGCTCTCGGGCAGCTTGGTGGGAGTGGCCGTGGTGCTCTTGTTGTCTCGCTGCTGCCGGCGCCGGGCCGCTTCCTGCTCCTCCTGGAAAGCAAGCGCCGGCTGTGTCCGCAGCCTGGCCCTGCTGTCCGGCACAGGCCAGGCCGCAGAGTGCATAGGAGCCCAAGAGCGCGTGCGCGCACGCACACCCCCGTCCTCTGTCAGAAAGCAGGCGGCCCTCCAACCATGGACAGCGCAGGACCCTGGGGCTGGGGCGGGAGAAGCCGCCTGATGGTCATCTCTCCCCTGCTGGCGGCATGCCTCCCCACACCGAGGGGCTGCGTGTGCTAGAGCGCTGTCCTCCTCGGTGAGGGCTCCTGGCCACACCGCGGTAAGAGGAAGGACGGCTCCGGCCAGCTCTAGGGGGTGAGGGCGCTGCTCAGCACGTTACGACCCGAGTGCCCCTACAGACAGTACGAAGGACACGGGACCCCAGGTGGCTGGAGCTGGCCATCTCTGGGGGGCCTCTCTTGCTTGGATACTTGTCTGAAGTGGCTGTGAGGGTGGGGGACGGAGTGCCGGAGCGGGCAGCGGGAGGGACGTGGGAGCCCAGATCCCGGCTCCCCGCGCACAGCAACTCAGAGCATCCCAGCCCCTCCGCGCCCCGGGCCTCGGGCCTCGGGTCAGGACAGCACAAGGGCTGTTTGCCATCCCGTACTTCGGCACAGCTCACCGGATCACCAAATCCCATTTCAGAGACTCATTCAACCCATTCCCCAAAAATGTGCCTAAGAGCTGTGGCCATGGAGGCTGTTGAAGACAAGGCAGGTGAGCGTGTGGGCCCCCAGGTCCCTGTCACTCAGGCCAGCCCCATTCCGCATGGCCACCTGCACCGGCACACCCTCCACCAGCAGCGCACATGTGTCATGAAGGCAAAGAAAAAACACACACTTACCCTGAGTTTTGGATTTTTCAGACTAGAAAAATAGTTTTCAAGCTGAAAATGCAAAGAGAAAAGGCAAAGTCTCAGTAGAAGTCCGTCCCGAGCCCTGCTGGGGTGAAAGCAATAGCCCAGGCACGCAGACACCAGGCACGCGCAGAGCACGGCAGGGTGGCTCCCGGCCGGCCGGGGGCCCACGGGGCTCAAGGATCCCACTGTACGGGCCCGTGCAGACCCTGCGGCGCCATCCCACATGGAGCCAGCAGCCTCGCGGCGGGCCTGGCCAAGAATCCGGGTTTCTGGGAGGCCTCTGACACCAAGGCAGAGCCGCTGTTCCACGAGTCCTCTGGGACAAGGTCTGCCCCACACGAGGGCTGAGGACAAAGAAGCCAAGACAGACCAGGGGCCCCCAGCCTCCTGACCCACTCCCATCCGTGCTGAGGGCTGGCTGGACAGCGCCCCCCCCGCCACGTGGGGCACTCACTATGGTGCGGTCGATGGTGTGCAGGTAGTAGGAGACCGGCTTCCCCGTCCAGGACACCGAGCCTTTCAGGGGCGAGAGCTCCACAACGCGCATGATGGTGCCAATGTCTGTGTACAACAGGCCACGCTCAGGGCCCCTCCTGCGCCCGGGGGGTGGGTGGGCAGGGCCCTCTGTGCCGCTTCGCATCTCGGTGGCTCCCTCCCTCCACGAGAGACCCAGGTGAGGCAGGAAGGGGCAGAACTGAAGTCCCTCACCACCCCAACCGCCCGCCAGCACGCCGCTGGGTCGGGGAAGCGGGGTCGGAGAGGCGTGCACATGGCTATGCCGAGGGGCTTGTCCGAGCGGGGCGGGTGGCATCAGAAAGCACTTGGAGGACGACTTAAAATCAATGTGGCGACAGGAACTCCCAGCAGCACCCGAGAAGTCACGAGCCCCCGAGGGCCATGAGGCCCGGCCCAGGGGCCTGGCTGAGCTCCTGCCGCAGGCCCTCTGCCACCAGCCCTCCCTGCACAGGGACAGGGCAACCACCGCCTGCTCAGGCCAATCACAACAGGGACGCGAAGTGCTCAGCAAACCTGTCCCTCTGAGTTCCATGCCGGGCCACCCTGCCCGCAGAGGACACAGGGCCACGTGTGTGGACGTCTGTGATGGTCAGGACTGGGGGTGCTCCTGACACCGAGGGGGTGGGGCCAGGCGTGCTGCTGAAACCCCCACAGTGCTCGAGACACCCCCGCAGAGAACGACCTGCCCTGATGTGAGTAGCACCAGGGGGACAGGCCCCACATTGACACACGTCAGATGCTTAAAATCATATATGTTAATAATTCAGCAGCGAGAGTTTCTTACCACTCAAGTTTCTGCTGTTTATTCTGAAGTTCAGAGGCGCAAAGGGCTTCGAGGACACGATTCTGCCACCTGAAACACAAACACCAGTTACTGCCCTTCATGGGGGGACAGCTACACACACACAAACGGAAGGAAAACAGCGTCTGGTGGAGGAAGAAGCCGCCACGGGGACAGCGGCACGGCTGAGTCCCATCCGCTTCCCACAAGTCAGAGCGAAACCAGGAGACGCTTTCCCCGTGGAAGTCTGTCCCACGAGCGGCCCTCGTGGACAAACGTGCTCTGGGCCCCACGGTGCTGCCCCGCAGAGCTCCCAGCTGGGGTCACACTGGCACCGGACGGACACCATCGGTGAGGACACGTGCCCCCTCCGCCGTCTCGGTACTTGTGCAGACGAGTCCCACAGTCACAAGCGAGTCTGAGTGGCCAACGCAAACCCTGAAGTCCCACCACCAGACCGCCAGTCGGGCCGGCCACGCTGACAGCAGCGGTTCCGCGTGCCGAGTTCTAAGGAGGAAAAGACGCACAGAGGGAGGCTCGTAAGGGAGCTCCCGGCACGCGCTGTAGGAAACACTGCAGATGGGTAGGTGCACACTCTCAGAAGCCATACTTCTTGGTAGGAGAAAGAAAGAGCCAAATGGAAAAGAAACACACCTGCCGGCCAGGGCGCCCCCGTCCTGAGGAGCACCCAGCCACCCAGCCCGTGTCCTAAGAACCATCCCTGGCAGGAGCAGGCGATGGGCCCAGCGCTGGACCGGGCCAGGTGCAAGGTCAGGTGGCAGCCAGGGTTAGGGCCCATGGGGTCCCATCAAAGATCTCAGCAGCCAGAGGCTGAACAGAGTCCCGTGGGGCATCTGCAAACCGGAGGGCCTCTGAGGAGCGTGGTACTGAGTGGGATACACCCTGGGGTCCCCCACGTGCTCCAGCTAGGAATGCACCACCCTGCACGGCCCACACGGCAAGAGCAATGGGAGCTGTGAGGGGCCCCTGAGGGCACATCACTACAGGACAACAGGTCAGGCGGCTGGGGACTGCAGGGCTCGTTGGGCAGTCCCGCCCTATCAGGACCCCCAAGCCCGCCCGCAGGACACCATGAGGGAGGGACCAGAGCAGCGACACCCCCACGACACAATGAGCCCGGACGCCCAGCAGGCGTCGTCAACAAACACGGAGGAACCCTGCTCCAGCAAAAGCCCACCTGTGCCCTGGCCCGGGACGAGCCAGCCAGAAGGTGGCCCCTTGGGCGGGCGGCAGGAGAGCGACAGGTAGAGGGGCCCTCCGTTCTGTCCTGGGACTGGTCCGTGGCTTGGTGCCCTGGGACAGCCACCGTTCACTCCTACACAATGATCAGGAGCGACCCGGGCCGCGTGCGCACGCTCCCCTGCACACAGACCTGCACGCACACCACCCAGCTGTCAGTGCCAAACGCAGCCGGTAACCACCTGCATCTGTGCTGGGCTCTCCTGGGTTAGGAGCGCCAAGGCCACCTCCAGGCCAATTCGGAGCCTAGAAAACCCCAGCAGCTTTAGCACTTGTGTTAGGAGATGGAGTGACCGGTCAAGGATGAGGGCACTTCCCGAGGCTTCCCGTCCGGGCCCCTGAGCACAGGGCCCAGACGGGCCGATGCCCACTCCTCCAACAGGGCATGTCACCCTGGGGACCAGAGAGTCCAGCCACGTTCATGCCAGGAGGACCCAAGAAGGACGGGCACCCAAGGCAGAGCTCTAATGAGGACGGCAGCAGCAGACCCAGAGCCTGGCGACCTTTCACCCCGGGCATTTGGGAGAAGGGGAGTCCACAGACTGGGGTCTGAGCCCTTGGCTGGAGGACTTGACCCACAAGCAGTGGGTTCATCTCGATCCTGAAACACAGTGAGCTATGACCAAGGACCGGATTCAGTGCGACTCCGAGCTCAGCCAGACAGAGGGCCCCCCACTGTCCCAAGACTTTCTCCACGTGGAGAAAATGAAAAATGAAACAGCCAGAACCTTGACTCTCGGCTCAGTGAGGACACACAGGCAAGAGGCATGAGGGTGCAGACTGAGGGGAGCAAACAACCAGTCAACATGGCCCTCATCATGGGAGAGACGGGAGGACCCAGTGCGGCCTGGCCCCTGCGCCCCAGACAGCGCCCAGAGTGACCGCCACCTGCAAGAAGGTGATGTTTCTATCTTCCCTCCAGGAGCTCGCTGGGCTCTCCTGTGCTCTGAGTCAGAGCACACGCGCTGCAATCTGCTGCAGTTACAAAGGCCTGAATTGGTGTTCAAGTGAAACTAGTTCACTCCCACCTACTTAGAAGGTTCTAGACTGGATGGTCTTCTCTGCCTGACATTCCAAGTGCATGAGGGCTTCGGGCACAGCAAAGGGAGAGGAGACACTAAGCTGCGCTGCCTGGCGCCTGGCCATGGCCTGATTCCCCTACCGGCAGCTAAGCTGGAGCCTGAGGGTGCACCTGCCCTCGTCCAGCACCGGCAGGGCGGCTGTGGGAGCGGGACACGGGGCCCCACGACACACACACCTCTGGTGCAGAGGGATTCTCGAGGCCACCACTCAGGACGGCCATCCTCAGGTGCGCCACAGGCTGCAGGAGCAGCCAAGGACAGCAGAGTGCTCCTGGGAAGGAGCAGCTTGCTGGGCCAGGTTGCAAGGTCGGCCGAGAGGCTGCACCCCAGCGCGCCGGCCCCTAGTCTCAGCTTGCCAAGATTCAGAAAACAAACTTTTCCCTAGAAGGTTCAGGCCAAATACAGTACAGGACCTCGCCCTACAAAACCACCCACACGATTCCAAATCTAGAAGCCTCCACAAGCACAAGGAAAACGCAATCCTACCTAAATGCCAACCGACTCCCAGGGCAACAGCCCAGCTGGGGAATGAGAGCACAGCTTTCGAGCTCCTTCCAAGACCTCCCCCACAGCTGTGCCCAGCAGCTCTGCTGCAAGTCCGAGACTCACAGAGCAAAGGGGCCTTCCCTCCCCCGACCAGGGACAGGAAGGCAGACGAGGGCGGCAGCGGCAGCTCTGGCCGGGCTGAGAGGGGCCCAAACACAGGAAAAACCCAGAAAAAGCCAAGGAGCCCGTCTGGATGACCCCAGTGGCCTCACTGCCCCCAGGTTAGGGTCACCAGATGGAACAAGGACGCCGATCAAGCCTGAACTTCAGGTATACCGTGAGTGATCCCTCAGTATGAGCTCGTACTGAGACGTTATTCGCTGTCTCCAGGGAATCTGAGTGTGACTGAACGGCCTGCAGCCCGCTTGTTAATCTGGCCACCCACCCCAGGTCCCTCGGGCCCACTAGCAGCTCCGGCCTGCGGGAGGCCCAGCTGGCCCCACCGCGCATGCTGAGCCGGGAGGCGCTCGGCCTGCAAGCAGGGGGCAGACCCGCCGTCAGCGGAGCCCCGGGCCTGAGGCCTTCCGCCCAGCCCGCACATGGAGGGCTGTCAGCACTTACAAGGGCCCCAGGCCCTGCGATCAGTGCTGGAGCCACACACAGACCCGACTGGGTCTCGGGCGCCAGGAGCACATGCTGACCACGACAGGGCAGGATGGGGGGGGTACATTACCTTCCTTCATGTTCGCAAACCGCTCCTTCAGCTGGTGATCCACCTCAGGACCAAAGGCAAAATTATTCACAAATATAACACTGCAAAATAATATTCCAGTTGAGTAAAATGAAGGTTCCATTTCCACACGTGTAGAGTTCCAGTGCACACCACGCCTACCGCCTCCTCCACCATCAGCTCCCCCAGCCCGGGGACGGGACCCGGGGGCACGGGGCCCAAGGGACAAGCCAGCTGCATTGGTGGGTGGGTGGTCCCCGCCTGCCACCGGGATGTCCCTGGGGTGGGAATGTGGATGGCACAAAGGTCACCTGGGGACAGAGGTGTGAGGACCCCATCAGGCCGCATTTGAAAGGGAGCCGCCTGAGGACCTGCAGGACCAGAGGCAGAGTCCTTCTCCTTCCTCCCATGCGCTCTGGCACCGGACGACCCAGGAGCCTGGGTCCGAACACGCCAACCGGGGCAGCCGGGGAGGCTGCTGCCCCACTCTGGGCGCGCGAAGACGCAGCCCTGCCTGCCCGCCCGGGCCCAGTTCATGCCCACTCGAGGCACTCTCTGAATGGCTACACTCTCCACACAGCCGTCAGCTGGGTCATCTCAAGTCCCACAGGTGAAACAGCTCCCGACCCAGCTGTGCAGCTCTTCTCTCCCACATAAGTGCCTGCAGATAAGACCTGGGCCAGGGGGCAGAACTGTGGACAGAGGGTTTACGTCCTGTCTTGAAAGGGACAGAAAACAAACTGGGCTGATGGACATCCCCTCGCTGCTTGTTTGGAGTCTCAACAGTCTAAAATCGAGACTCTGGAAGCCGTCAGAGCAACCAGGAAACAGAACAGTCACAGGTGACCTGACCAGAGCAAGAACAGATGCCAGATGCCTGGTGGACAGAGCAGCAGGGAAGAATCATTAAAGACACGGACCGAGCCCAGTGCACTCTTCCTGCCCCACCGCACCACAAAGATGAGGACAGGAGGCTTTAGGCTGAGGCGCAGGCGTCCTTGGGAGCCAAGGGACAGAGCCCTGACGAGACAGCCAGGCGGAAAGAACTCCCACAGAGAGCGAGGCTGGCGTGTCCCAGTCCCTACTCGGGAACGGAGCCTGGGAAGGCAGGACGTGAGCCAACAAAGGCCCTGGGGATGGCTCTGATGGAAGAAGGGTGCTCCGAAGGTAGCTGCCCCTCCCATGTCATGCACGAGGAGTCCGAAGCAGAGACGGAAGTCCCTAATAAGAGAGGGGCTGGGAGGGGAGGGGACACCCCTGCCAGGAAGCAGAGCACCTGGGAGGTCGTCAAGGGAATGCTCTCCCAACACCAAGGCCTGTTCCCACTCTTCTTGCAGGACGAGGGGCAGACGAGGCCCGGGGGACAGTGCCCTCCCTGTGAGCTCTCACATCGCCAGGGTGACCACGAGATGAGACACCTTGGCCCAGATGCTGCTGGCTGGCACTGGAGAGCCCCCAGACCCCCACAGATGGGGATGCCCACGGGGTCAGCAGGAGTCTCTCAGGGAAAGGGGGAAGACCTGGCCAGTAGGGGAGAGCAGAGTGGACCCAACTCAGATGAGGACTTCTCGTGGGACAGCCACAAAGGGAGACGCTCTGGAAAGAGCAGTGCCCAGTTTCTACCTGCCCCCAGGAGTGGGCGGGGACTATGGGGCTACTGGCAGTATGCGCCTGAAGGAAAGACAGGGAGAAGCCACATGGCAAGGTCCCCTGAGACAGTGGGCCACCGTTGGCAAGAATGACTACTCCCCAGGAAGATGGCTCTGGGGTGTGCAACGCCTCTTGGATCCCCGGGCTTCCAGCGGTCTCCAGCTGACTGCCACACCCCCGAACCGAGGTCAGGGAAAGGGCTGCAGACCAGCTCCGGGCCCAGAGCGGGTCCAGAGGAAGGTGCGGGCAAAACTGCAGCACCCCAGATGCATGGGACAAGATGCCACCCCATGGCAGGTGCAGAGAAACAGCCCTGCCCCCACACCCGGCTGGGGGAGGTGCAGACACAGCAAGGACCTGCACTCTGAGCGCAGGGCCGAGACAGCCAGAAAGGGCCCTTCCTGACGGGTAGCCAGGGGACTGCCCTGGGGCCCTGGGTCTGGCTCCCGGACCACCTGCTCGGCTACAGGTGAGGGACGGCGAGAGAAGGAGTTCGCCAGCCACCTCTCCCAGGCGCACCACAGCTCACCCCATGTCCAGCACCCTCCCCAGGGGCGCCCGCCTGGCCAGGCCCTACCTTGTGTTGGCAATCCGCTCTCTCCACTCTTCCGAGAGGAAGTCGCCTCTTTCCAGCTGAAAGGAAGACAACAGGAGGGAGGCTGACTCAGGAGACCTCACCCAGCTTCGCGCCCTGCCCGCCCGCGGAGAGATGAAATGAGCGCGGTCACGGAAGTGGGGACGACATAAAACCGAGGCAGTGGCGGCTCTGGGAGGGTCCAGCCCCAGCAGAGGATGCACTGCAGAGCCACACTGAGCCAGCCGGGGGCGAGCCCGGGGCACGTCCACGCGTGGTTCCCAGCCTGCTGGCGGTTCTGGACAGAACGTGGGCCGGCCAGCCACAGCTATAGCGCAGAACAGTGGTCGTGCCCTCGGGAGGCGCCCCGGGCACAGAGCACTGCCGGGGGAGAGCGCCGGCCCAGCCTGCGGCGAAGGCCAGGCTTGCTTTCTGTACCACAGAAGTGCAGGCCCAGCGGCCGAGCCCGGTCTCCCGCGCCCGCTCGCCTGACAGCAGCCCCGTCGGCGCCTTCAATGCCTGCTCTCTGCGCACCCGGTTCTTAGTGACCGAGACGTCTGAGCTGTGGCATTCAGCAAACCAACAAGTCTGTCGTTCTTCAAAAACGCTAACACACCAGGCCTCAGCACAGGCCAAGGAAAAGCGAGAGCGTACGTCCCACAAAACCTGCGCACGCGCGGTCCCGGCAGCAGGATTCAGAAGAGCCAACAATGGAGACGATCTAAATGCCCATCAACGTGTCCCCCACGCACAGGAGCATCCCCCCGCCAAGAACAGCAGCCAGGCGCCCACACGCACAGCCCCGGGGACGGACCCTGAGCCCACGACGCTCAGGGAGGGAACCAGACACGGACGGCCACGCGGGGTGTGCGTCCACGTGGGTGACACGTCCAGAACGGGCTCATCCGCGGACGGGAAGGGGGCTCCTGGGGGCGGGGGGGTAAGGAGGGGGGAGACTCTCCTCACCTGCACCCCTACAGATGCCGCCAAGTGACAAGAACCCCCACTCTCCTCAGGAAGATGGCAGGAGCCCACTGGGGCCCTCGGCCTGCTGTTGCTCAGAAAAGGACAGTCCAGTAAGCACTGCTGACCAGTGCGGAGGCCGTGTGCCAGGCCACGATCCGATACTACGCCCTCCAGCGCACGCACAGAGACCACCCAGGGTACCACGTGGTGCATGTGCTGTGACCACGCAGGGTGCGGGTGGTGGGGAGAGGGGGAGGTCTACCTGAACACTCCCAGGCACTGTGGGGGCTGCCCACACCCCAGCTGTCCTCTCTCTGAATCCTCCCCAACCTGTGGAGCTTTCTGACTCTGCCACTGTCCCGAGGACAGCCCTGCCAGGCCTCAGGAATGACTCAGGTCCACAGTCTTACTGGTGCTGCGAGAGAAAGCTCGCACGGCGCGCCTGAGGCTTCCCTCCCCAGAGGGTGGCTCCCAAGGCTGGCCCTCGGTGGCGTCTGGAACCGGACTCCGGGCTCCCACCACCCTCGCTGCTGGGGGGCGCGGGTCCCTGAACCGTCTGTGCAGACACGAGGTTCGGGCTGAGCACCTGCTCCCCTCCCGGAGTCTGGGGTCCCGGCCCAAGCCAGGCAGGGGGCCCCGCGAGACCAACCCCCACAGAGAACTGGGCGCTGGGTCTCCGCCGCCCCCTGGAGACCACGCCTCACACACGCGGTCCTGTCTCGTTTTGGGGGGAGCTAAGCGCGTCCTGTGGGACACCCCGGGAGAGGACTCTGGAAGCTCACGCCTGGTGTCCCCGCCCCCGCCCCCCACGCCTCTGCCCTGAGCTCATCTGGCTTCCTATTCTCTCTGTATGAACCACAGCTGTGGGGTCGACCGTCTGCTGAGCCCTGGGGGTCCTCCCGGCACATCCCCACACCTGGGCCTGGGCCTGGGCCGGACATGGATGCTATCAGGCACTTCTCCATGTGGCCTCCCTCTCCCGGCAGCTCCCCCGTCCAGACCCCGCAGCAGCTCCGCTCTGCATGGGCAAGCTGGGACCCTCTGAGCGAAGGGACTGGCTGCGTCAGCTGTGCTGCTGAGGCTGGAGCACCCGAGTTAACAGTGGCCAGAAAGAGGTGCGTGGCCTTCCTGTGCCTGCCCAGGGACCCTGTGAGCAGTCCCAGTGTCAGAGACCTCCAAGTACAGAAAAATCAGAGAAATGGGAAGATGCAGAAAAGGCCCTACGCACGTACAGGTGCAGAGGCTTTCAGTGCCCACAACCACGCATGCCACAGACACCACCGGTCTGCGCGCGGACCCAGGTGCAGCCCCACCCCCAGGCCGCCCCAGCTCGCCACATAGGTGGTCCTGGAGGCACCCCCCCCGGCCCCCCCCGGCATGGAACACACATGCTCTCCAGTCAGGGGAAAAGAGCACAGTGTCTGAGAATGAAGAGACTGAGGTTGGCCCCACCCAAAGTCCAGTGTGCAAGCGCCACCCACGGGCACACCCTGGCCCTCGGTGAACCTGCCCAGGAGCAGCCCCAAGTCCACAGACGCAGTCCAGCTCGGCCGAACCCCCAGGCCCTGTCTCTTGGCAGCACCTGCCTGCCGGTGACCCAAGCTTGCCCAAGACCAGAGGGGAGGTGGGCCAGTGCTTCTGAGATGCATGGGGCCCCAGCTGATGTGGCCCAGCCACCCCAAGGGCCACAGAGGCACCATCCTGACGTGGGCAAAGCTGGAGGGGTGGCAGGTGCTCAGGGGGAGGCCCTACACATGTCCTGGAGAGAGAGGCCCCTGCCCCTGAGTGCAAGAAGTGCCTCAGCACAGGCTGGTCCACAGACACCCTGGCGCCGCCCCCACGAGGCACCTCCATGAGGCCATAGCCACCCAAGGTAACACGCTCTTGATGTTCGAGACCCGCTGTATGCCAGGCCCACCCGACAGGACTCATCGTGAACAGCACGGCTACTGTGTTGTGGGGACTCCGGGGGCCTGGGCGGGCTGGACAGAGTGTCTCCCAGGCGGAGGGGGCACCCTGAGCTGAGACAGCCCAGCAAGCAGAAGCCCAGTGGAAAGAGGGAACGGGGCTCTGACAGGAGGAGGCACAGGGGTGGGTAGGTAGGTTCGGCGCCCGGGCACCGTTGGGCTGCAGGACAGGGAGGCGGCGGCCACATGGGGTCCTTGGCCTGCACAAGCAGGCTCTGGGGCTTGGAAAAGCACATGGGCTATTTTTAGACTTCTGTTGGCTCTGTTTCCTCTTAGGATCTTAAGTAACAGGAGCAGGACTCCATCCGCCAGCGAGGACGCCTGGTCAAAGCGAAAGAAAGCTGCTGGGAAGGCCTCACGAGATCCAGGAGGCAAGTTCCCGCCAAATGTGGGTGCTCATCAGTCAGCACACGCTCACCACACCCCGCCGGAGCCCTCTGGAAACAGACAACAGAACAGCAGAGGCACGGCCTGCTGCCTGTCCTGCGGCCCGCTCCTTCCACACACCCCTGCCAAGGTCGTGCCCAAGTGTCCTTTGAGCCAAATTCTATTCACAGCCACCTCGCAGGGGCTGAGGCAGGGCCGGTGAGCACTCTGCCCCACACGAGACCCAAGGAATGAGACGGTTTCCACGTGGGGAGCCCCTCCCGCATGCTGACCACTGACCCCGGATGGAGACAAGAGAAGGAAGGAGGACGGCGGAAGGAGAAGTGAGCGAGCAGCGCCCCCAGCCTCACCACTGCCCCTCACCCCAGCCGAGAGGAGCTGCCAGAAGCTAAAACCAGGCTACAGAGTCCTGGAAGCCATGCCTGGAGCAACAGGGGCCGTTTCTGAGAAATGCGGCAACACCACTCCTACACCATGGGCTGGGGCTTTCTCACCAGAAACAAGAAGTGGTTTAAAACACGAAAACCTGTGTTTTAGGAAGTCCATTTAGGAATGCAGTCAGCATAAAAGCAGATGTGGGGACCGCACGGGAAGAAGTTCCTGGAAATGGAAACCCACTGGACTCCCCGCACACTCAGCCCAAACGGCAGACCCCAGGGAGCCTCAGACGGGGGCACAGAGACTTTCAGAAGAAACTGCACCAAGACACAGGGAAGAGAAGCCAGGTCCCACTCTGCCTGTGCACATCCTGGCTCCAGGAACACAGAACAGAAGCAGAGGGTGCAGCACCTCTCCCCACGGGGCCGGCATCAGCGCACACCCGAAGATGCTGCGAGGAAGGAGAGGCACAGGCTGGGATCTCTCGTGGACGCGGGCGCAAACACTCTCAACAACCCGGTGCGGAGCGGAAATCCAACACCATGTGAAAACCACCGCGCACCACGACCGGGCGGAACTCACCCAGGCCTGGAAGGCCAGCTGGACACCTGTGCTTGCCACGTCAACAGGCCAGAGAGAGATCCCAGGAGCGCATCAACACATGCAGGGAAGGCATTTAACAAACTCCAACCCATTCAAGATGAAGATTCCCAAAATAAGAACAGAGAAGAACTGTGTCCACTTGCTAAGGAACACCCACAAAATACCTATGGCTCCCATCACCTCCATGGTGAGAAAGTCAAACCTTTCCCAGTGAGCACAGGAACAAGGCCACGGCACCCCTTTCACCACTGCTTTTTGGCAGCGGACCGTACATACCTACTGTTACGCTGGCTCATGCGGTAAGACAAGAAAAATAAAACATACACAGCTTGGGAAGGAAGACCTAAAGCCGCCTCTGTTCACAGGTGACACGATCATCTATGCAGAAAATTTGAAGGAATTCAGAAAAACAAACAACCTGGAGCCGATAAACCATTACAGACAGCAACATTCTAAGGTAAAGGTATTATCGTATATTGATACGCAACAAAGGTCAATTGCTTTCCTGTAAAACCAGCAATGGACAACTGGAATTTAAAATTAAAAAAAAAATAGCGTTTACACAGGCACCAAGACAGACAGACTTCAAGATCTACAAGATGTACAAGATCTACATGAGGCAAACTCGGTGAGGGAGAGGCAGGCTGCGCCAGAGGCAGGAAGCCGCGATACTGTCCAGACGGCAGTTCTTCCTGAGCTGCTGTGCAGATTCAGTGGCACCCCGACCCCAGCCCACCGCGAGCTCTGAGGTGGACGCCCACAAACTGACTCTACGCTGACTCCACAGTTTATCTGGAGAGGTGAAAGCCCCAGCGTGGCCGACACAGCGTGGAAGAAGAGCCAGGCCAGAGGACGGGCGGACGCTGCCTGAGTGAACACTCGCTACAGAGCCACAGTGACATAGATGGTGTGGGCTGGTGCGGGAGCAGACAGACAGACAGAGGAGCAAGGGCAGAGCCTGCAACCACGGGGCTGAAACAGCTGGGCCTCCAAGTGCAAAGGAAAGGATCCAGGTGCTGTCCTTACAGCCTCACGTCCCTACAGGTAAAACACAGCTATAAAACTCCCAGAAGACACTAGGGAGCAAGTGTGGGTGACCCTGGGTTTGGCAATGACTTTCAAACACTACAGCGCAGCCATGACCCACGGAAGGAGAATCGTCAGGCCGTCCGAAGGAAAGGGAAACCTCCCGTTCCCCTTCTCCCCACACCCCAACTGACCTCCAGCCCGTGACCGCAGGACTTATTCTAGCTCCCTAACGCAACAAGGAACGCCAGTCCCAGCTCAACGGTCAGCGCCCCATGGTATGGCTCGCTCTGGGCTGGTGATGGTGGAGAGGGCGAGACGTGAACACTTGTAAGAAGGCTCCGGGAGAGAGGAGCAACAGGCCGGGCCGTGGAACCAAGTGGAACCTTGGTGATTTGGGCCTCGAGCTCTGGGTATGTGTCGGTAATGGCCGGAGATGGGAAGAGAAGGAAGAGGTAAAGATCCGGTCTGGACACACTCTGTGTGCGGCATCCCCGCAGTGGCCGAGCGGGTGCGGGCTGCACGGCCTCTGCACGTCCAGAGCAACAGACAGAGTAAGGGATGAGTCTTGGGCCCAGACACGTTTCGATGCGTGAGACACGGATGCCCAAACAGGAGTGGAGGCCAGGGATCTAGAACCCCGGCCGGCCAAGGAGCGCAGGCACCGCAAGGCTGGGCCAAGCAATGGAGGCCGAGGCACAGTGGCAGCCAGGAGAGCTGGGGGTGCGTGCCGCCCCAAACCGGAGCCCTGCCAGGAGGAGGGACTCGGCGTCTGGGTCACACGCAGCCAGGAAGGCAAGGAGAAGATGCCACTGGGCTGGCCAGTGGACAAGGGAAGAGGGCTTGCCATCCACAACCCGCGGCCCAGCCCCGCGCCGCTGCCACGGCACCGAAGGAGGGCTCCCTGAGACCCGCCAGGTGCCTGCCGACACACCGCACGCGACTGCGTTCAAGCGGCTGAGGACTGGGGCAGAGGGGCGCTGCCCCGTCCCACCTCTGTTCTCAGAGGGCACGGGGCAGGGGCAGCCCCCGAGGAGGCCCAGAGGGGGCAGAAGAGGTGGGAGAGGAAAGAGGGTCCTGCTGCGCCGAGCGGGCCTCCCCCCGCACAGCGCCGCACGCCCAGCTCGGCCGTGCACACGGCGCTCCACGCCAGGCGAGGACAGGCAGGGAGGGTGTCCCCAGGAGGGAAGAGGAACGGCGGGTCAGGGGAGGAGGAGACCCAGAAATGGAGCTGGATCGTTAGCCCCAGGGGCATGGAGCGATGGCACTCACTGTGTATTCTGCATGCTTTTTTCCATACCATTTCATCCACTTCCTGAACTCTCGGTCCATGGTCTGCAAGGGAATGATCCGACAGCCTGTCAGCGGCTCCCCGCGGCCCCTTCCCCCCTAGCCCACTCCCACCACGGGACAAGCTGGGACTGCCCATCCACCAGCCCTCAACACAATCCCTCTGATTCTGTGGGTTGCAGGGGAGGACAGACTGCAGGACCTGCGGAGTCCACCAGATGTGTAGGCCACACACTCTAAAGGCATTTCTGGAGACGCACCTACTCCCCAAAGCCCACTGACCCCATCCCAGGCAGACATGGGCACAGCAGTGGTGCCTTCTGACCCCTGGTGCGTCTGGAGGAGACAGGCCCAGCCTGGGGGAGACAAGGCTGTAGTCCCTGTGGGCAGCACACACAGCAGGGCCCAGATGCGCAAGCAGAGCCCAAGCAGCCCCTCCAAACGCCCACCTTGCTCTGTCCTCCCCTCCTTACACCCCGTGGGTTACGGCAAACAAAGGTTTGAAAGAAAAGAGACGCAAACACACACACCTGTGTCCCACCCCAGCGTCACTCACCTCCGCGTACTTGGCTGGGATGTCAGCTTTCTCTACGCCATAGTGATGTTTGCAGTTGGTGGCCGCGGCGACCTGCAGCACGACCTGGCCCACTCCTTCAGACAGACAGAGGTACCGTCAGATGCAGCCCCTGGGACAGAGGCGGCACCAACCCAGAGTCGAGGCCCAGGACAGGCAGGCGCCGGCCATGGAGGTCAACAGGCAGAGGCCACCGGCTCCCCAAGAAGGTGCGAGCACTCTCCAAGGTCACTAGGAAATGCCAATGACCCAGGCCATGAACTGAGCCCCCACTAGGGGGACGGCCAACTGGCCGACATGGCCTCATACGGACAACACTCCAGGGCACGCCAGGGCTCTCGCGAGGGGAACCTGCTCTCTGTCTACCTCTGCAAGGCTCCCATGTTACCACCACAGCATGGCATGGCCGGCCAAATCTGAAATCCCTCTGAGAACATCTGTCAACACGGCATCGATGGGGCTTTGATGCCTATCAGAAGCGGGGTCTCCACGCCACTGTCATGTGCTGGCCTCCCCGTGCAGCCCGACAAGCAAGCTGAATGCACCAACACACCCAGCTGTGCAGCTCCCTAGGGGCAGCGTGCGGCACCCTGGCGCTCAGACCTCGTGTGCGCCGGGGTGCTTCGTCAATGCTCTCCCCTCCCACGTAGGTTGGTCGTGCCTCTCAGATTACATGCCAGGAGCCTTCTGAGCTTGCACTTTGAATAGAATATATTCAAATAATAAAAATAAGCACACCAGGGTGCCCGGCTGGCTTGGTGGCTGGAACGTGTGACTCTCAATCTCAGGGTCATGAGTTCAAGCCCCACACTGGGGGTAGCAATTACTTAAAATAAAAAATCTTAAAGAAAAAAAGAAAATAAGCCCACTACCTAGAAACACAGGGTAAATAGCAAAGCCCATGGCGAGAGGACACAAGGGTCGTGGCCAAGGGACAGGGGGAGGGTGGTTAAGAGCTGGAAATGAGGAGTCAGGCAGGTGCTTTCCAAAACTCCTAAACCTTCCAGTACATGCAGATAAATTCTGTGGCCTTTTAGATAACTGACTTTTTAGGGGCACCTGGGTGGCTCAGTTGGTTAAGCGACTGCCTTCGGCTCAGGTCACGATCCTGGAGTCCCTGGATCGAGTCCCGCATCGGGCTCCCTGCTCGGCGGGGAGTCTGCTTCTCCCTCGGACCCTCCCCCCTCTCATGTGCTCGCTCTCTCTCATTCTCGTTCTCTCAAATGTTTAGATAACTGATTTTTGAAGCACAAGATTATTTATTTATTTATTTATTTATTTTTTAGAGAGCACGCGCACATGCAGATGCACGAATCTGGGGGGAGAGGGGCAGAGGAACAGAGAGAGAGAATCTCAAGCAGACTCCCCACTGAGTACGAAGCCCGACACGGGGCTTGATCTCACGACCCTGAGATCATGACCTGAGCCAAAACCAAGAGTTGGATGCTCAACTGGCTAAGCCACCCAGGCGCCCCTAAACTATACACGTTTTTATTAAAATACGAATTGCGTGCTTAAAAAAGCTCAAACTCATGATGACATCAAAAGAGTTGTCCTCGCCCGGTGCTCTGGGCCCTTTTCCAAGCACCGAGGCCATGCCGGTTTGAGACGGGACGTTGAGTCTGCAGCACAAGGCTGTCAAAACAAGGTCACATCCAGGTGGCAGAGCCGCCCCAGAGGAGGGCTGTGCACGGGGTTCCTACGGCAGGCTGACAGCCACATCATCAGCCCTGTCACCTCAACATGTCCCATCTGGAATCAGCCAATCCGAGGCGTTTGTTTATTCCATACAGTCTATAGTTCATCCCGTGGACACCTGCTAGGCCACACTGAGGACAGGCCCTGCCCTCAGGAGCCTCCACTCTAGTGCCAGAGGACCAGCTGTACATGAAGGAGAGGGGCGGCTAGTGAGAGCCGGGGGGTGTGGGGAAGGGGCGAAGACACCCAGCAATGTGGGGGGCTGGTCTGCAGTGGTCACTGGGGTCCCCTCTGAGGCAAGAACAGGTCCCGCAAGGCGAGCAGGGGTGAGAGACAGGGAGCACAACAACCCGGCCTCTCCTCTGTGCAGAGCACCAGCTTGCTGCAGAGAGGGGCAGCCCCCACCACGAGGGGCTGCGGGTGACCCGGGGTGCTGACCGAGCCACCCCCTCCATATCTGGGGGCCAGGGAGGCTGGTGGTGCTCACAGCACGGCCTGCTCACACTCACCACTGCCCAGGTCCACAAACAGGTCGTCCTCGGTCATCTTGATCTCATCGATCATCTGTGCGACCAAGTCAAAGGAGGTCTCCCCGTACACCTCGGGGGAGAAGGGCTCGTAGTTGTTGAGCTTCTCAGGGTCCGTCACCGAGTGGTTGTAGACCTGCTGCAGGATGTGCCGCAGGAGCCCGTTGGACGGCCGAGTGTTCAGTTTCATGGGCTGCGTGGTCCCCTTCCACTAGGACGGCAGAGAAAGCACCGCACGCGTCACACGGGCGGCGCTGCGCCCCGGCACCGGCACATGCCAATGGTGCGCACGCTCGCGGGCAGCCGGCCACGCCGCCTCCCTAGACAGCAGAGGCCACCCTGCAATCCTGGCCTTAAGCAGACTCCCCACTGAGTGGGGAGCTGTGCCTTCACCCGAAAGCCTGTCTGGGAAAAGAAATGGGCCAAGAGCCACGGAAAGAGCCAGGGCCTCGTGGGTCCTTGTCAGGGGCCTCAGGGGCCAGAACCAGGCCAGCACCCCATCCAGCTCATGCTGACCCGAGAAGGGAGTCCTCAGGCTCCCAGCCCTGGGGCGCCACTGAGGCCTGGTGCCCTAACCCCTCACGGTCCGCCCCCTTCCGACTCATGTCAGCTGCCCTTCAGCCTCCTGCGGCCCTGGCAGCTCCCGAGGGCCCTCCCAGCCTGGGGCCAGGCCACTGCCGTGCAGGGCACTGGAGGCCGCGTGGCCTGGCCACCACGAGCGGCCCAGGTCAACCCCAAGCCCCAGGCCCCACCTCCTGCCCAGGACAAAACCAAGGGGAGGGCTCTGGGCCGAGGCAGTGGGCCAGGGAGGCCCACACAGCTGACACCCAGAAGAACTTCTCTGAACCCCAGTCCCTCACACAGGAGGCCAGAACATACTCATCTGACTCAGCATCCCCCTCCCCTCCCGTCAGTAACAGTGATGGGGATGACTGCCCAGAGAGCCCAGGCCAGCCCATGCTAGACCCTCAGGGCTGCATGGCCTGACACCCCGCCATAGCCTCCCCTGACAGCAAGGCTCCTACCGGAGAACCCCCACCCCCAGCAGGAGCCCACCCGGCCTAGACAGCGAGACGTCCTTAGAAACAGGAGCGACACGCTCTCCGGAACTGCTTTTGCAGCGTGGCCCAGCCCGGCTGTCGTCTGTTCTTCACCAGGCGAAGGCTCCCCAGACCCCAGCATGGCAGCTGAGGGAGGCGAGGACAGAGTCCCAGGCCTCTCCATAATCAGAATATCCCAAAGGGATGGCAGGAAAACACTCACAACACAGCTGGCTGAGGGACAGGAGAAGCCCCGGGCAGGCTCCTGACCGCACCTGCCTGCCTCAGCCCGTGGGGACGGGGCACCGATGTGAAGGTCCATATGCACTGGAGACCCCGGGATGAGCACTCATCATGCCGGGGACAGGGGCTGAGGACGTACCCCACCCCCAGCCCAGTCCCAACAGCAGCTCCTGAGACACCTTCCGCTGGGGGTCAGCAGTGGCCAGCCCCACGCCGCATGTGTGAATCCCCGCACTCCAGGGTGGTCTGCGGGGGTCTGCGAGGCATGGCATTAAAACTACCCAGGAAACGTGACGGCAGCTGGGTGGAGCACCCCCCCCCACGGGTCCCTGACAAGCAGACGCACGTGAGGGGCGGACAGAGGCCACCTACCAGCTGGTGGATGCTGTCGATGGCGCGGTTGTATTTGTCACAGAGCCTCTGCATGCTTTCGAAGCTGAAAAGGCAAGGGAAGGTGCTGATCACTGCAGAGCTCAGAACAAGCCATATGGGCCTGGCAGGCCTTTCGGGAGGGACGGCTCCTGGACATGCAGAGCCAGCTCTCCCCTGGTGAGAAGGCAGAGGTCACAGGGCACCGAGGAGAACCACGGGTGGGCAACAAGGCTGAGCCCAGTGTCTGGGGCTCAGGCAGTCTTTGGCTACGTGGCCAAATCGTGTACCTCAGGGCAGCCTGCAGAGGTCACGGCTCACGGGTCAAACCCAAGGTGAATGGTGTGCCTAGCAGGTGTTAGGTGAGAGAGAGGGTTCCACACAGCCTTCATAAAGCACTGCGGCTGGGACCTGGCCAGCCCAGACTCCCCACCCAGTAGATGGACAGAAATCCCACCTGCTCCCCAAGCCGGACCCACTGCCCCAGGGCAGTGTGCACGGGCCATACTTCCTTCCCCGGGCCGGAAGGAGCCTCCATCTCAGCCCCAACTTGATGGGCATGGGGTCCACCCAGCGGCAGAAAGGGCCCACTGATTCTCCTGTGGCAGAAGAGGACACTGCCCAACACCTGCCCTACAGATTCCAACGCTTCCACAGATGCAAGCAGTACACGTCAGGTGCCGAACGAGAGCCTGCCTGGGAGCGGTTCATGAGACAGGACTCTCCCAGACCCCACCACGTTTACTCCAGGTATGACTTTCAACGAAATCCAACCTAGGAGGTCCCCTCAGGACTGACTCTGCCTCCAGGGGACACTGCACATTGTCTGGGGACATCTGGGGACATTCTGGGATCGAAGGGGTGGCATCAAAGGGGTGGGGCCAGGGATGCTGCTCAGCCTATGACAGTGCCCGGGACGCCCCGCAGAGGACAACCTGCCTGATATGAGCAGTGCCAGGGGGGCGTGCTCCAATGTCCGCGCTGTAATGGAGGGCACGTCAGCTGGGGGCCTCTGTCCACCTACGTGCACACACAGCAGCAAGGAGGCTTCCTCCCTGCGCCAGACGCCAGGAGCCTGGGAGAGGCCCCTCCACACACAGGACATGGGAAGCAATGACCATGCTGTGTGCACCCCAAGCCGCCCGCCCCACTGTCCCCTGCATCTTCACTGACAGCCTGCCCCTCATCCTCGGCCCCAGATTTACCCTGAGAGCTCATGCGCACCCTTCCTTTACAAAAGAAATAAAAGGATTCAACTAAGCTGGTGCCCCCGACAGCAAGTCCAAGGCCCCCATAGGACAGCTGCGGTGGAAAAGCGAGAGAAGTGGAGAGCGGGCGGCAAGAGCAGTCACTACCAAAGCGTGATGGGTCCTCACAAAGGACAATGACGGAGCTGCCCCCAGGCCAATGTGGTGAACTCAGGAACCCAAGAGCAACAGTGGGCTCTGCCACTCTTCCGGAGGAGCGGGCCACGGACACAGGCAGTGCCGGCAGTGCAGGTGCCCTAGCCCCCGCCCCCGCTCAGCACGGGGCCAGGCAAGGTCACAAGAACCAGGACCTGGCAGTCCGCAGCCCCGGCAACACCCAGCGTCTGAGTGACACTCCTTCGCCCTCCTAATTTGCAAAATGAAAGATCCAAGAACTCTGGCTCCTAGTTTCTCATGCAGCCCTCAGGTGAAAACGAAGGCACTACTTTGTCATTTTATTTCCTTGTGGTCCCCCTCAGCCTGGACAGCTGTGAGCCACCCAGGCCTCAGCCCACCCCGGAGGAGGCCTGTCCCTGGATGATGCACAAACGCTATGGGCTAGCCCTGCTGCCACCTTGCTTGAGAGAGAAATGAGGATCCCCCACCACGAACCTGACCCTGCGGCCGCACCGGTCCCTCAGATGGATACCTCCAGACTGGCCCCCCGCTGCCCACTCCCCGTCTTTTCTAAGCCAACTGAGTATGGAGGGGAAGAACCTCAAACACCCCCCTGCAAACATCTTATAGCGATACTATCCCGAAAAATGCTGGCTGCTCTCGGCCAGGCACAGAGCAATCAACCCGTTGTTTCACTGGCCAAACGACTAAGGTCCAAGGGTCAGCACCTGTATGCACCCTCACCCTGGGAGTAAGAGAGGTGTACCCCACTCCTCGGTGTGTGCCCACGCTACCAGATGCACATGCACCACCCAAGTCCATGGGGCCACCCTAGGGCCCAGGGGCCTGGATGCTCTGTGTGAGGAGTGAGCACAGTTCTCTTCTTTCTCAAATGCTGGGCCAATCATTAAATGGGGAACAAGGCAGGAGGCCAGGGGAATGGGATCAGGGCTGACAAGCAGACCAAGGGGCCCTTCAAACACAAAAGTGAGAGCAGGTCAACAACACCTAGGGGCCGGGTCCTGTTAGGGGCCCCTGGACTGTGCGCCTTATGGAGAGCGAGCTAGCAAAGCCGAGAGAGGTCACAATCCTTCAGCGAATACTGCAGTGCCCCTGCTAAGCCTGCCAAGAGCTAAAACGGCAGGAGCCTGGAATGTCAGCCTTCCTTCTCAAAGAGAAACAAAAAAACTCCAGGCAGGCATTCCAGAGACAGCCTCACCCTTCTCCACCCACAGGACTCTCCTCTGAGATCCAGGACGTGCCTGCAGGAAACTGCGAGAAGCGGCCAAAGGGCTGGACGCGCAGCGACGGACCAAACCCACTGAGACCCAGGTGGGGGCTGGCCAGAGCCCGAGCCCCAGGAGGCCCGTGCAGAGGCGCTGGCCCCAGGCGGGAGCACTGGCTGCTGACGGCCGCCCGCAGGGAGCATGGCCCCTCGGCAGCTAGCTGGGGCCGACTTCACACATACCAGGCGCCGCTTCCGCAGTGTGGCATTTCCAATTCCGTCCTCGCTCTGACAGCCTCTGCCAATATTTGATAAACATTTCCTACCAAAATAACTTCATGGAGGCGACAGCCAACTCTCAAAGGAAATTGCAGACCAGCTTGTGCCGTCGAAGAAGAGCTGACGGGAGGCTGCGTCCCCAGCAAGCGTGGACAGAGCTCTGCTCACCTTTTGGTGTCATAGTCGATCAGAACGTAATTCTCCATAGCAAGCTTGAGGTCTGGGATCTCTTCACAGACCCACCTGAAACACAAAAGCAGAACCAACAGTGAAAACTATTCCCCATGCTCTAGTTTTTACTCTCAGCTGTCTTAAACACTGTTAACTCCCAAACATTAAAAAAAAAAAAAAAAAACCTCATTATTCAAGTCAAAATGCGCAATGAGAAAGGGTGACATTACTTCAGAACAAACCGTGTGAGGCTGTGGCTGACGCTGGGACTCACATGGTGTGTGGAGCCCCCGCCAGGGTCGGCTCCTGGGTGCCAATGGGCCCACATGGGATGGAGCCGAGGAAACCAACCCACTCCAGGCAGAGAGCTCGGCACGCGCTGTGTGCCCCAGGAGTTAGCGGCAAGTGCCATGCCACGAATTACCCGAGCCCAAGACAAGAGGCTGCTTCAACAAACACACTGCAAGAAACAGAGAGATGGAGGGGAGCCGACAGAGTAAAGGGACAGAAAAACACACCAGCCAATCCCAAGGCATAACCTTTGTTGGATCCTGATGCAACCCTGACAAAGAGCCAGGGGAGAGGAGTCGACACTACAGATCTTCCAGAGAAAACCCGGGCCATTACGGAAAACGTCCCGCCAAGAGATTTGACACCTTAGATGAAATGAACTAATTCCTGGAAAGGCACAAATAGGCGAAACCAACACCAGAAGAAAGGAAACATCTCAGCAGCCTCGACCCTACGAAAGACCTCGATTCCCTGATCAAGCACCTTCCCACAAACAGACCTCCAGGTCTAGCTGGCCTCACTGGGGAATCCAGACATTTAAGGAAGAATGACACTAATCGTTTTCAGTTTTAGGAAGCCAGTGTTACCCTGATGCCAAAACCAGAGGGAGACAAAGCCTTGGAAAGACAAAGTCGGTATCAAACAGGAAATCTATCCACCAATATCCCCCATGAACACAGACCCAAAAATCCTCTAAAAATACTAGTAAACTAAAGTCAGCAATACATGTTAATCAGGTGGAGTTTATCGCAGGAATGAATCACTGTCCTTCACGTCATTAACAGAATAAAGGATAGAAAGTAGTAGGATCATCTCAACAGATACAGAAAACACCCAAGCCAAACCGAAGCCCCACGCAGGATAAAAACCCCGAGGAAGCAAGAGGTGGAAAGAGGCGTGAGGGGGTGCTGCCCACGCGCCCACTGTCTCTGCTCTGCCGGCCGGCTCCGCTCTGTGGGGACAGGAGGTCTCCTGGAGGGGGGAGGGCCGCCCCGGCCCTGTGTCCTCAAGCCAGACTCCCTCGCTGGAGCAGGAAGCAGCTGCTGAGTCCAGTGAGCAGGTTCCTTCATGGTGTCCCGCCAGCCCCCTAACACACACACACACACACACACACACACACACACACACACACACAGGCTCTCAGTGCCTGTGCCAGGCCCTTTGTCCTCAAGCCAGACTCCCTCGCTGGAGCAGGAAGCAGCTGCTGAGTCCAGTGAGCAGGTTCCTTCATGGTGTCCCGCCAGCCCCCTAACACACACACACACACACACACACACACACACACACACACACACACAGCGGCCCTCCCGCCCCAGACTCTGCGGCCCCTCCCCACGAGACCCCTCCCCACGCTCAGTCACCAGGGCCAGCTGGGCAGTGCCCACCTCCAAGCACCAACCTGCCCAGGGGTCCCCACCTCCCCTCCTCACAAGCACTTCTGTACGGTCAACTCTGCCCAGCAGCACACATGGCATAGGTCAGGAGACCCAACGGGACAGGAAGGTACCGGTCCCACAGACACCGCCAGACCGCTGGCACAAGACTGAACACTCCCAGAAGGGGGGGGGACAGGTGAGGAGGCCCGCCCCCACACTTCCCTTCAACGCTCTACGACAGGCCCTGGCCAGCACCAGGTGGCAAGAAAAATAAGTGAACAGCATAAAGACTAGAAAAGAAGCAAAACGTCTCCATTCAGACACACAATTTAATACACAAATTAATACGCTATCCTAAAGAATTTACATAGAAGCTTCTAGAACTTACGTGAATTGAGCAAGGTCACAAGACATGAGGTCAGTGAGCAAAAATGAGCTATGTTTGCATATACCAGCAACAAAGAATTTTTAAATGAATTTTTTAAATACCATTTAAAACATCAGTAAAACATAAATACCTAGGAATAATTTTTTTTTTAAGATTTACTTGAGAGAGTGGGCGCCTGGGTGGCTCGGTTGGTTAAGCGACTGCCTTCGGCTCAGGTCATGATCCTGGAGTCCCCGGATCGAGTCCCACATCGGGCTCCCTGCTCAGCGGGGAGTCTGCTTCTCCCTCTGACCCTCTTCCCTCTCGTGCTCTCTATCTCTCTCTCAAATAAATAAATAAAATCTTTAAAAAAAAAAAAAGATTTACTAGAGAGAGAGAGAGAGAGATAGCACTTGTGCGTGGGGGTGGGGCAGAGGGAGCGAGAGAATCTTAAACAGGCTCCAGGCCCGGCGTGGAGCCCAACCCAGGGCACAACATCATGACCCTGAGATCACGACCTGAGTCAAAATCAAGAGTCAGACGCTTAACTGACTGAGCCACCCAGGCGCCCCTTTAGTGATAATTTTAATGAAAGATTTGCAAGACCTCTATATTGAAAACTGTAAAACACTGCTGAGAAAAATCAAAGACGAAAGAAAGCAAGGGAAACTATGTTCACAGAACAGAAGACTCAATGTTGTTAAAATGGCCCTTCTCCCTGGACTGAACTGCTAACTGGAAGTAATTCCTAGAACAAGCCCAGTAGGCTGAGAAACAAGACAAGCTGATTCTAAAACTGACATACAAAGACTGAGAACCTAGCCTAAATAATCTTTAAAAAAGAACACTGTTAAAAGATTTAACCGCCTTACTTTGAGACCCATCGTAAGTCTACAGTAACCACGAGAACGTGGTGCTGGCGGAGGGATGAAGAGATAGATCAACGACCCAGCGCACAGAACAGACGCAGGCTAACATTTAAATGGCTTTTGGATAAAAGCACCAAGACAACCTGATGGGGAAACAAAGTCTCTTTAATTAATCTCGATCCCCACAAATACAAACCCCCAGCCAACATACACAAACATCCATTCACAACTGATCTTAACCCTGAACACAAAAGCTGAAACCACAAAGCTTCTTGAAGAAAACAAAAGAGAATACCTTTGTGACTCGGGCAGGCAAAGATTTCCTGGACATGACCCAGAGGAGTAACCGCCAAAAATGAACGGATACACTAAGGACTCGCACTGGTGAAGGTGCCATTAAACCACAATGAGCCGCACCACACGTGATACAGTATCTCATGGGGCACTCGCAGCCAGAGTATGTCAAGAATTCTCACAGCTCAGCAAGGAGAAGACAACTCAATCTCAAAAAATAGCACAAACTATTCTCCAATAAAAGAAACCAGAGCTCCTCAGAGATGTGGCTGATTCGCAGGTCTGGAACACGGGAACTTCAAGGTGACTCTGGAGCCTCGGTGGTCTAGAAAGTGAGCACGGGCTCGGGAAGGCAGGGGGCAGGCCAAAGGGGCAGGGCGCACGCTGACAGAGCCCCACGTGGCCAGCACAGGAACAATGTGAGTGAGGAAACGGCAGTAGTGGGTTATAGCTCATGGAATGAAATAAACACGTATGAGAGAACAGCTCTTCCTCACAGAAAAATTCCAGTCAATAACTATGCAGAGAATGAGAAGAGAGAAATCGCCTTCAGAAGCAACAGTAACCAGTCGTGACAGGTGAGAGCCACCTCCGGACGCTAAAATCAGGGGGCGAAAGTCCAAGGAGAAACGGGATATTTGCATGGTCTCCAAGGATCTCCCCCAAGGTCTTTATTAATTAAAAGGGGAAAAGCAGGGACTACACATCAGAGAGACATGGTGGAGCAGGTGAGCAAGGTTAATGTCACCACAGCAAGACAAAATCACAGGCCACTTGCCTCTAGCCACACTGACAGCTATTCTCACGAGCAGACACTTTGGTCAAACGCTTTTTCTGCACCCATTCCCTATCATTCAGAAGCAGACCACAAACACTATGTTATTTCATTCATAAATACTTCAGCATTCATCTGTAAAAGTTACGGACTTCTTTTAATATAACTACAATGCCATGGTCACACCTAGGAAAAACATCAGGGATAGCAGGGAATTCCCTCAAATTCACACAGGGAATCTATGGAAAAACCCATAGCTTTTACCACTTCTACGCTAAATTGTATTGAAGGTCCTAGCCAATTCAAAAAGGAGAAAGAAAAATAAAATCATGAAGACCGAAACAAAGACGTAAAACTGTCCCTATTCACAAGTATATTCATTTCTAGAGCAAGTCCTGAGAAATCTACAAATCAGGTACTAGAATCAATAAATTTAGCAACAAGTCATAGTTAATATATGAAAATCAACTGTGTTCTTATTTATTAGCAGCAGGCAACTGGAAAATAAAATTTAACACGGAATCTCATCTACAGTAGTGCCAGAAGCTCAACTATCTGGGAATAAATCTAACAGAAGGTGTCCAAGACCCCACACTTAGATAACAGGGCACTGCTGAGAGAACTGCAGACATATATATACCATGTTCATAGATTGAAAGACCCAGTGTTGGAAGCCTCAAGGGCAAATCTCTCCAAAAGACCTATTGATTCAATGCAATTCCTAACAAAATTATGCAAAAATCAATAAGCTGATTCTAAAATTTATACAGAAATACAAAGGAGGTGAAATAACCAGAGCAGTATTTATTATTATTATTTTTTTAAGGAGGCTCCACCCCCACCACGGAGCCCAACATGGGGCCTGAACTCAAAACCCCGAGATCAAGACCTGCACTGAGACCAAGAGTCGGACGCTGAACTGACGGAGCTCCCTGGGTGCTCCACCAAAGCAATATTTTAAAAGAAGAACAAAGGTGAAGCACTTAACTCTGCTCAATCACAACACTTACTCTACAGCTAAAGGAATCAAGGTTTTCTTCAGGTCAGTGGAACAGAACCAAGCCTAGAAATAAACCAACTCCCACACTGTTCACTGACTTCTGACGAAGGTGCCATGGAAATTCCAGACAGAAAAGACACTCTCATTAATAAACAGTGCTGGAACTAGTGGACATCCACATGCAAAACAATCAACTCCAACTCATCCCTTGTACCATATGTAAAAACTTACTCAGAATGGATGAAAACTTAAATAGAAAACCTAAACCATAAAACTTCTAGAAAGCATAGGAGAAAACCCTTGTGGCCTCAGATTAGGCAAATATTTCCTAGGAGACGAAAAACACAAATTATAAAAGAAAAATGTGGACAAATTGGACTTTTATTAAAATTTAAGCTATCTACTCTTCCAAAGACACTGTTAAGAATATGAAAAGGTAGGGACACCTGGGCGGCTCAGTTGGTAAAGAGTCTGCCTTCGGCTCAGGTCATGATCAGAGACAGAGACAGTGAGAGCAGGAACACAAGCAGGGGGAGTGGGAGAGGGAGAAGCAGGCTCCCCGCCGAGTAGGAAACCAGACGCAGGGCTCGATCCCAGGACCCTGGGATCATGACCTGAGCCGAAGGCAGACGCTTAACGACTGAGCCACCCAGGCGCCCAAATAAATCAAATAAAAAAAAAAAAAAAAAAGAATATGAAGAGGTAAGCCACAGAGAGGAAGAAAACATTTGCAAAATATACATCTGATACAGACCGGTAATGAGACCATGTAAAGAACAGTTAAAATTCAGTAGTAAATTCAATTCTTTTTTTTTTTTTAAAGATTTTATTTGTTTATTTGACAGAGAGAGAGAGACAGCGAGAGCAGGAACACAAGCAGGGGGAGTGGGAGAGGGAGAAGCAGGCTTCCTGTGGAGCAGGGAGCCCGATGCGGGGCTCGATCCCAGGACCCTGGGACCATGACCTGAGCCAAAGGCAGATGCTTAACGACTGAGCCACCCAGGCCCCCCAATAGTAAAATCAATTCTTAAAGACAGGCAAAAGATGATGAACGTCATTAATTATTAGGAAAAGCAAATTAAAACCACAGTGAAATACCACTACACAGCTCAAATCAGGCCAGCAAAAGCAAACCATGTCAACACCACACGCCGGTGCGCTGGAGAGCTACAGAGATGTTCCTGCACTGTTTGTGGGGTACAAAACAGGATGATCCCTCTGGAAAACACCTTGGTAGTTCCTCTTAAAGTAAGTTGCCATAAAACCCAGCAATCCCACTCCTGGGTATTTACCCAAAAGAAACAAAAGACATGTCTACAAAAAACCCCCACATGAATGTTCGTAACAGCTTTATTTATAATCGCCAAAGTCGAAAGCAGCCCAAACATGGCCATCGTCTGGTAGGACGAACAAACTATAGTCTGTCCTACAACGGAACACTCCTCAGTAACAGAGGAAAAATGACTGATACGCACAACAACAGGGAGCATCTCAAAGTCTTGTGCCAACTGAAAGAAGAGTCAGGAAAAAGAAAAGGGCGTTCAGAACAAGTCCCTGCAGGTAAGATTCTAGAACAGGCGACGTAACCTGCAGGGGCACAAGGCGGCCGGGGGCTGCCTGGGAACACTGGTGGGGGGCAAGCAGACCACAGAGGACGCAGGGAGGCCGGTGCGCACACCCACACCGGCTGGAGCGTGCACCTTGCCTGCGTGTGGTTTCTTGCACCGCTGTCCCATCTCAATTGCTTTTTTTAAGAAATACAAATATAGACTAAAGTGGATGGAGGTACAGACGACACGTGAGTGGTGATGAGTTGGTCACCGTGAGGCTGGGTGGCAGTTATGGGGTTCATGACACCCTCCGTCTACCACTGTATCTGCTGGAAATTCTCCATTACAGAAAGTAAAATAAGAGAAAGAACAAAATGAGGTACTGACCATCTTGCCAGTGAACAGAACTTGTCTGCAGGACAAAGAGGAAGAAGGTAACGGGCTTCTGAGACCCAGGACATGAGGACCAGGCCTGCAGGTGGGCAGCTCTGGCCAGCCCCGGGAGAGGGCGAGGCCACAGCAGACAAAGGGCTGGCTCAGCAGCTGCAGCACGGACGCTGACCCCCGGCTGCACAGGCAGAAGCACCCTACTCCGCAGATGAGAAACAGGCGCAGAGGCCACTGGGGCGCACGCCAGGCCACCTGACTCAGAGCCTTCCCTGTTAACCTCGACACTCCCACTTCCTAACCAGCAGCCTTCTTTAAAAATAACATAAATCAAACTAAGGCAACTAGTTAACACCACTGATTGCTTTCAGGCCCACCCTGCAACATTTGCACACATTATTTCACTTAAAATTGAAAACGATCTTGCGAGGAGGCGTTGCTTGGCCCCCAGAGCCAACCCGACAGGCTTGGGCAGCTGCAGTGGCCTGGGCTGATGGCCCAGCTACCACGCGGCAGGGAAAGGGCCCCACCACAGCTGGCCCTGCCCTCCTGGCTGATGCACGGGGCACCACCAGCCCAGCCCTGTCTCCAGCCCCGGCAGCTTCCTGCAGACATCACGGCAGGGGCCCGGGGGTGGCTACGCAGGTGAGGATTCTGAGGAACAACACAGCAAGAGAGGCCAAAGCCATGCAGACATAGGACCCCCCGGCTTTACTACAGATGCTCAGAGAAGAACGGGGTCCCTGACCACAGAGCAAGAAGCAGTTACAGAATTGCGCCCAGCGGCCACAGCCCGCACTCTGGAGGTCCTTCCAGACCCCAGGCAGGCACAGAGAAAGCCTTCTGTGGGTTCTGTCAAGGTCGCCCGCCTGGGGTGGGGGAGGGGCGGCGCTCTTCTCCACACACTCAGGGAACAAGCTGGCGAAAGGCTGTGCGGGGTACTGAGCAGAGCAGCCCCGCGGGAAGGCTGAGTCAGCACCAAATCCAAGGGGGAGGAGAAGGAAGCAAGGTGGTGAGGAGAGGTGGGGGAGCCCCCGGAACCCTGCCTGCTTGGCATTCCCCTCCCCTTCACAGGAGGATCCAAGGCTCCGAGAAGCACGGAGACCTGTTCGGGGCCATACGTGGACGACCTGGCCGCCTCTGACCAAGCTGTCGCTTCTCAAGTCCTCCTGAGGTGCTCACCAAGAGGAGCCACGCAGGGCAAAGCGGGGTCAAAAGGCAGGCTGTAAGCCCAGAAAGCACAGCAGGGGTGGCCTGCATGGGGGCCCGCCCACCCTGGCAGGTGCCGCACTCACCGGATGGTCTCGATGATTTCATGAGCAGCATCGTGGTGTTTGTCCTGAAAGACAAAGGGACAGGATTTACACCCTCCGGTGATGCAGGGTGCAGGGGCCCGGCCCGGGGCACGAGGTGCTGCTCTGGGGCCCCTGCCCACGCTGGACACAGCGCTCTTGGGGAAGACCTGTCCCTGCGCAGCACGCAGTGGGGCAGGGGCCTGGGATGGAGTCTTCGCCCCGACCCTCCTTTCCCAGCGCCCCCGCAGTCACCGCTCTGCTGACTCCTCACCCGCCCGCCCCCCCCCAACCAGGTGCTGCTGCAGCCTGGAAGCCACAGGCCTGGCTCTGACTTACTGAACCTCTTCAGGCCTCTGTTTTCCCATCTGTAAAATGGGGAAACACAAGTACCACCCAACCATGGGGAAAACTCACGGGGCTGCCCTCCTGCCAGAGCAGACACCCCCTAGCCTCACAGTGCCCACAGCATGGGGGCTCGCCGCCATGCCCTCCTCAAAGAGGAGACTGAGGGCTCCCTCCAGGCCTCTCAGTGGGGTCTGGGCAGCCAACTGAGCCCAGACCTCGCAGAAACCAGGAGCAGATGCGCCGGGTCTGATGTGAGCGCTGCACCTGCTGCGCCACAGAGAGGGTATATACAAGCCTGCCCCTGCACCACTTTACAGCAGACGCCAGGGGGCAAGGGCCCGGCGTAAGGGTCAACACGACTCCAAGTACCCGTGGGCCCTACCCTTGCCTCCGGAGGGACAGCTCCATGCCGACGGGATTCTCAGATTGGAGCTCACCTGCTTCCCATACACAACTCAGTGGCTTTTCAGTCCTTCCAGCGTCGTGCAAGCAATGCACTAATTCCAGAACACTCTCATCACCCCAGAGAGACCCCGTCCGCATGAGCCGTCACTCCCCCGCCCCGGCAATCACTAATCCACTCTCGTCTCTGTGGACTTGCCTGTTTCTGGGCATTTCACATGAATGGAATCACACATTGTGTGGCATGTTGTTCTAAGCCTTATTTTTTTTAAGGCAAATGAAGAGCCAACCTTTCCATGTTCTTAATAATATCCTCCAACTGACGAAGGATCAAATGACACACGTCACTTGCAGTCCTGTTCTTCGGGTATGGCGGGGGCAGGGGGCAAGATGGAAGGCAGGCAGCCCAGCGGTCCCAACCGAGGGGAACCTGACTGACCTGCAGCATCGGCGTGCTGCCGACTCAGAAACTGGGGTGGACACCGCTGATGGGAACTAGTGGCCCCAAGACCTCCTGGTAAATGTCAGAAGACAACTGGGGCAGCTCTGCTGGGCACACGAAGACAGCTTTAGCCCAACCTCAAAAGGCCTTAAAGGAATGATGGGAACTGGCCACAAGGAGAGCCTCCTCGCAGGCCGTGGGCACAGCAGTCCCAAGGCCCAGCACTGCCTGCCCCCCACATTCTGGGGAAGGAACACGGAGCCCCAGACACCCCCGGCCTCTGACACAGGAGCCCCAGCTTTGTTGGTGAGCCACGCCAGCCTGCGCAATACCCTCTGGGTCCCAAGTCAGCGGGAACACACCCAGGTGCTCCGATGCACCAGGAGGGTGGGCAGGAGTGAGGAGCTGGTGACATCCATGAGGAAACAGCTTCTCTGCTCATCTCAGCCTCATCTTCACACCTCCTGGCCTGTCAAACATGGAGCTCCTCTAACCAGACGAACCCAGACTGCTACCTTCAGAGTCCCCACAAACTCCTCGTGGGCACTTCCCTGTTATTTTGTGAGAATGTCAGAAATAAGGAGGAAGCCACAATTCCTGCTGCTGGACCGCTCGCCTAGGAGCCCACACTGTGAAACACCACTGTGCCCGCGTGCAGTGCCATCCTTCCCCGTGGCTCGACCGGAGGCATCCAGGCCCATCACCGAGCGGGCCTGTCCACTCAGCCCTTGGCCCTCTAGGTCCACACCCGCCATGTGGGCACCAGCGAGGTGGGAGATCTGACAGTGACAGCGGTGGGTGGCATCCGTGGAGCTCGGGAGACTGCATGATACACGCAGGTGAGCGTGTGACACAACCACTGAGCTCAGGGGGTGCCAAGCCCTCCACGTGCACAGCCAGCGGTCCATTTTGCAGATGGAGACGCTGAGCACCAGCTTGCCCCCAGCGCCTCTCATGAGGCAGTGGTGGGACCCGAAGCGAGGCAGGAGACACGGCAGCACCCACTGCTTTGGTGAGGAGCATGCAGGGTGGAGGGGAGGGCAATCAGAGTCCCTGCCTGGCAGCGAGCCGCCCTTTCCCAGAATGATCACATAAACCTCCCCCGGCGGCGGCGGGGGGGGAGACAGCTAAGCTGCACTTCATCAGAATGAAACAATGATGCTTCCAAGGACAGCATCAAGAAAGCCGAAAAGACAAACCAAAGAATGAGAGAAAAATTCTGCAAGTCATCTCTCCGGAACAGCGTCAGCATCTGTCAGAGGCACACCTCACCAGGCTGCACTGTGCAGAGAGGGCGCTTTTCCAAGCTGAGGGCTGCGGCCACCCTGGGATGAGCGTGTATCAGCACTATGTCTCCCACGGCGTTGGCTCCCCTGGTGTCTGTGTGTCCCATTCTGGTCATTCTCAGGATATTTCAAACTTCATTATTACTATATTTGCTACGGTGATCTGTGATCAGTGATTCTGTCTCACTGAAAGCTCAGATGACGGTTAGCATTTTTAGCGAAGTACATGGTCTTTTTTTTAGACATCACGCTATTGCACATTTAACAGACTACGGTACAGCGTAAACATAACTTTTATGTTAACTGGGAAACCAAATAATTCACGTGAGTCATTTTACTGAGACACTTGCTTTACTGCAGTGGTCTGGAACCAAACCCACAGGACCCCTAATGCATGCCTGTGCATATACAGACCTCGAATAACTCAAAATAAAAAGACAAATAAGGCCATTAAAACATGAATTGACATGGTCACTGCTACAAAGAAAATACTCCAATGGCCAGCCAATAAGACCAATAAGGACATGAAAAGATACTCCACCTCCTGAGCCATGAAGGGACACAAATCAAAACCCCAAGGACGGCCAGAGTCCAAACTATGGACACTGAGTGCTGGGGTGGGGATGGGGAAGTGAGAGCCTTCACACCTGCCTGGTGGGCACGTAAAATGGTGCAGCTGCTCTGGAAAGCAGCCTGGCCGTTCCTCAAATGCTTAAGTGGAATTTCCATGCGGTCCAGCAATCCTACCCCTAAGTATACACCCAAAAGAAACATCATACATCCACACGAAAATCTGTGCATGCACGGTCACAGGAGCAGCATTCCTAATAGCCAGAAAGTGGAAACACCCCAAGTGTCCATCAACAGATGAACAAACACAACCTGTCCCCCACACACGGGCACAACACTGGGCCACGAACAGGAGCCAGGCACCCACACGCGCGGCCCCAGGGACGGACCCCGAGCCCACGACGCTCAGGGAGGAAGCCAGACACAGAAGGCCACGTGGGATGTGAGTCCACGTGGGTGACACGTCCAGAACAGGCTCATCCGCAACGGGCAGGGGCTCGTGGGGGCTGGGGCCTGGGGAGGGGATGGGGGTGACCGCTAATGGGGACGAGGTTTCTTTGCAGTAACGGAAGTTTCTGGAATTGATAGTAGTGATGACTGCACAACTCTGTGAATATTGCACACTCTAAATGGGTGAGTTTTTTGGTATGTGAATTATACTGCAAAAAAGCTGTTAACAGGGGCGCCTGGGTGGCTCAGTCGTTAAGCGTCTGCCTTCGGCTTGGATCGTGATCCCAGGGTCCTGGGATCGAGCCCTGTGTTGGGCTCCCTGCTCAGCAGGGAGCCTGCTTCTCCTTCTCCCTCTGCCTGCCACTCCCCCTGCTTGTGCTCTCTCTCTGTATCTCTGTCTCAAATGAGTAAATAAAAAATCTTAAAAAAAAAAAAAAGCTGTTAACAACAAAAACATCTGCAGAAGTAATGCCGCCTAGCATTATTAAAAGCACCCCCCTACCCCGGTAGGAAAATACTGAGTTTGTAAGACACTCACACGATGACCCTACTCTGCTGCTATCCACAACAGTTAATGAAAACCAGATTCAGAGTTTTGGCAGGAGCTCACCTGACTCCTGTACTAACTGACCCTGAAAAAGCAGAGAAGACACTATGTCACAGGATCTACAGAAGACACCATCAGACTCGCACAGCACAAGGACAAGTAGCTACAGAGATGCCGAAGGTAGTTAGTCTGGAACTTTCCACCAAAGCGCTCTCTCCCCCTCTCTCTCTGTCCCTCCCCCACTCCTCCTTTGGGTCACAGGGAAGCCAGCTGCCAGGTCATGAGCAGCCCCATGGAGAGGCCCACATGGTGGGGAGCTGAGGCCTCCCTCCTACCAGCAGCCCTGCGAGGGCGCTGGCAGGAACAGCTCCTCCTGCCCTGGTCCAGCCTTCAGATGAGGCAGCCCCGGCTGGCCTATGTGCTGACCACAATCTCATGAGAGACCCCAAGCCAGGACCACCCAGCTATGTCTGCTCCTGGACTGCTGACCACAGAAACCCTGAGAAAATAAATGCGTGTTGCTTTAAGCTGCTAATCTGGATTAATTTGTTATGCAGCCACAGCTAACCAATACAGATTCTGTGTTAACGCTGATGAGCCAGCCCGGGAGCACAGGTGACTCTAGAAATGCCCCTGACCACAAGGGTCTGAGTCAGAGCAGCACCACAGTTAAGGACGAGCTGCCCGGCCCCATGCACAGCAGGGCGGGGGCGAGCACCGCCGACAGGAGCCTGAGCAGCTGCCATGTGGCAGGCCCGTGCAGATGTGGGGCTCGCACCCTCCCCCCGTTCTCACAGGAACCCACACAGCCTGCCAGGCTGACTCGCCTCACACAAGATCCACAGACCTGGAAAGGCAGAGGTGCCTTTAGTGCCTCTACTTGTCCTTGTGAGAAAATGAAATCCAGCTTTCTCAATGCTTTAAAAGCAGAAAAAAGTTTACAACGGGGCCTCCAAAGGTCTCAGAATGATCCTTTCAGGGACTGGCCAGCTGCCACTGGTG